TCCCGCTGGCCAAAAGTGCCCTGAAGGCATTCGAGGAACAAAAAAAAAATCATAGCTGGGATGTTGCTCAGCAGCACAGTGCCTGCTAGGCAAGCATAAGGCCTTGAGTTCGATTCCTGGTGCCAAAAAGACAGTTACGATCTGTGATGGTTATGAAGCACTTCAAGCTATGAATCATTACCAAAATGGTATTTTTTTGTATTTTTAGATTTATTTAGAAAATTATTAGGGATCAAGCACTATCACAGCGATATTTATGGAAGCACTGTTATAAATTGTCAAAATCTACAAAAATTAAAAATGTTCATTTAGCATACAGTGGACATATAAATTGCAGAATGTTCAGACAAATGAATACCATTCCTCAATGAAAATATAATATAACAATAAGAAGAGGGTAGGCCAGATAGCTCAGGGAACTGAAGTACCTGCTTAGGCAGTCAGAGGGACAGGTTCAATCCCCTACATGCCGGGCCTAGGTGTGGTGGCAGGGGCCTGTAATCCCAACACTTGGGAGGCTGAAAACAGGAGAATCACTACAAGTCCGATCTGTGTAGTGAGACTCTCAAAATGGTATTTATTGTTTATTTTGTAATATTTATGTGTAGATTTTTCTTGTGATTTGGGCTTTCGGTAAAATTACCTCCAAGTGAAATCAATAAACCAAAGTTTTGAATTTTTTAACACTCACTTTTTTTTTTTTTTTTTTTTTTTCCAGAACTGGGGATTGAACTCAGGCCCTTGTGCTTGCCAGGGAAGCGCTTATTCTATTGAGCCATCTCCCTGGCCCCTGTGTAGCTCTTAGTAGTACAGATGTGAGAAGCAAATTTAGTGTGCTCAGAAGAATGCTGGATGTTAATGGATTTTTGTCTTTGTAGTATGCAAAACCAAAGATACTTCATTTAGTACTTTCAGTCTTTTAATGATGAGTTTAGACAGTTTGCCTATTTTTAGTATCTTTGATCAGTGGTTATCATGTCCATAACAATAGCCATGCATGGGCATAACCATCTATAAGGTTAATTTTGTGTGTGTGTAAGTTCTTTTTTTTTTTGTTTGTTTTTTTGTTTTTTTGTTTTTTGCTCGGAATGCCTTCAAGGCATGACTGGCTGTATTGTGTTGTGGGGATCGAACCCAAGCAACCTGAGCCTGACTGCTTTGTTGAAGCAGCCACTTAAAGAACTGAGCTACGGGGCAGGCCCCCTCAGTTCTTTACATATTGAGGATAATGTGGTATGTATTTGCTTGGAGTTCATTTTCCTGTTTTGCTTTTCAGTTTGGGTTTAAAATTGCATTTCTTTTAAAAGGCATTGTATGAACTAATGGTTATTTTTCTTTAGTTTTTAAAATTTTCTTAAGAAATCACTGGTACTCTTTTATTTTGCTGGTTTGTTTTGTGGTACCGGGGATTGAACCAGGGCCTCACCCACGTTAAGCAGGTACTCTACCACTGAGCTGCATTCCCATACCTTTTCTCTACTTCTGAAATTGTGTGTTTTCTATCCTTATGTGATTTTTTTTTTTTTAAAGTAATTTTCAGGGCTGAAGAATGTGACTCAGTGCCAGCATACTTGTTTAGCCAGCATTCAGCCCTGGATTTGATTCCTGACTCTACAAAAAGTTTACGTTAGTGAATATTTTGCCTTAATGGCTGTCATTAATTGGATGAAGCACCTAGCAGGGTTGTAATTAATTTTGTAATAACTAGTTCCTGGAAAGAGCTACAGACTTCATAGCTGTGACACTAAGTACCTAGCATCTCCAGCTCTTAAGAGAACAGCACCATTGTTTTTTGTTTCTTGCAATAATTGTGATATTCTTAGGCATCTTGTGTCCATTCGGTATTTTATTACTCATTTCCATATTTCTGTATTCTTTTATTTGTTCCTGCTTCCTCCTAATCCACTGCCAACTTTTAAGTATGAAAAGCACAAACTAGCCATTTGCCAACACCACCTCCTCCCTATATGATACCGACATAGGATAGAAGAAATTGCACCTAGCCTCATCACAACTTTTGTGCTCCTTCTTTGCAAGGCGTTTTAGTGAAAAGTGTCTTAAGAAGAAGATAGCTCTTTGATTTTGTGTGTGTGTGTGTGTGTGTGTGTGTGTGTGTGTGTGTGTGTATGAGATGGGGTTGACCCACCCTGGGGGCAGGGCTGGCACAGTATGTGATGCCCGGGATTGAACTGCAGTTCAAGTGCACTTGCCTAAGCAGGTGCTTCACGCTGCTGAGCTATCTCACGGGCCCAGCCTTTTCTGTTCTAAAGGACACTTCTAATCTAGAGTTGAGGAAAAAGCACCTGCAACAAAACTTTCCCTAGGCCAGAATCATGGCCAGAGCCCTGAAAAATAGCATTTTCAGCAAAGTGCTTTGTGGTTTGAGGCTTGGGCAACACCTGGCAAAAGTGTTCAGTATATCACAGTGCATGCAAGTGTAATATTAGTCCAAGTGAGACGTGTTTGTTCTGTTAGTGTCCAGAAAAGACTATCCTTTTCCCCATCCTACTCACACTGCCCAGTACTGGGGCAATGACATAGGGCAAGAAAGATGAGGTAGATAAGTATGATCACCTGCAGGTTACTCAGCTGGGTTAAAGAAAACTGCACATAATCAGTGTGTCACAAAATGACACAGTCATCCTGCACAGACAGTTAACTTTTGTATGAAGACCCCAGTAACTGACCCCTATGTAATTTCCCACAACATGAGAGTTTCTTCATACATGAGAAGCAAGATGCAAGAAAACTATGTTACATCTTCAAGCCCCTTGCTGACCACATGTTCCTTGGGAAAGTTTATACTAGTTTGACCATTATGTGAGAAATGTGAATATAGTTTTGCACATTAAGTCTTCATGTGATCAATTTTTATTTAAAACTTTTTTTTTCTGTTTTGTACTGGGAATTGTACTCAGTACCTTGTACTTGCCAGGTAGGTACTGTGCCACTGAGTGTTTCTTGAATCTGCAGATAACAGCCTTAAGCAGAATGATAGCAAATGTGTGTACAAATTACTTTGTAATTTTGGGGGGGTTTGGGGAAAGGGTCTACAGGGCACTACTCACTACTGGATCGGACTCATAGTGATCTTTGTGTTTACAGCCTCCCAAGAGGTGGGATTGCAGGCGTATGCCACCACACCCTGTCTCAATTACTCTCTCAGCGCACTCCGGGGACAGGGCCAGCACAGCAGGCCCAGGGATGGAACCTCAGGCCCCTGCATCTGCTTATAGGCGCTTTAATCGGCTGAGCTATTCGGCAGGCTTTCAGCTTACTTTGTAATTGACATCAAAACTTGAGCTTCAAAAAAAAACTTGAGCTTCAGGAAATTCTAAATCAGTACACAAGTAACCGATCACCAGTCAACTCTTTTTTTTTTTTTTTTTTAACCAGTCAACTCTTGATCCACCTTGTTTCATCTGTGCTCTTGGCCTCCTTATTCCCATGTTATTTGGAAGGAAATCCAGCCATGATGTTGTATAATTCTCAATATTCAAATGCTCCTCTTAGAAATGTAATATAGCCATGTTACAATTTTATTCTCATACTTAAAAGTTTAGTAGTTATTTCTCTAAGCCACCAAGATTTGCAAGTATTTCCTCAACGCAAGTTTTTAAATACCTAAATGGGGGCTGCAGAGGTAGCTTGGTGGTCTAAGCACCTGCCTGGCAAGCTTAAGTACTAGGGTTTGGTCCTTGGTACTGTAGCATGTGGTGTTGGTGCCCAGGTGCACCGAGCAGGCTGCCAAAACAGGGTGTGCCTTTAATCCTCGCACTGGGGAGGCTGATAACAAGAGAATCACTGAGTCTGAGCTGCATAGTGAGACATTAATACCAAAATGGCCATTACTACTATTATTACCACTGCTACCAGAAACTACACGGTAGAGGAGTCAGCAGTAAAAGCACCTTTACTTTCTCGCTCCTGCTTTGACCTCAGTGCCTTGAGATGCTGGAGTGCTTAGGAGTACCCTGGGTGCAGGCGGCGGGGGAGGCTGAGGCCATGTGCGCTCACCTCAACGCTGGCGGCCATGTTGATGGCTGCCTCACAGATGATGGAGATGCTTTCCTCTACGGTGCGCAGACTGTCTACAGGAATTTCACGATGAATCCAAAGGTACTCTTTACTTTGGTATTTGTTTACATGCTACCTTTTTAAAGGGGCTGATTAAATGAAAATATATGTGAAACAATGCTTCCCATAATGCCTGGCAAATAGCAATTGCTAAATAAATGTTTGCTGTTACTAAAAATATTAATGCTATATTTAGTGTGTTTGAAAAATATTGTGAATTTTTTTTAAGCAGTAAAAGAGACATTACCATTAATCCCTGTCAGTATATTCTTGCTGTAAGACACACTCATCCCACTTCTTGCCACTTTTGGAAGCAGTTCTGGAAGTCTTGTTTTGTGAGTGTTCTCATTTGGACTGCCTGGGCTGCGTTGGTGCCCTGAATCGATTAAAAATGCTTCCCTTTCATGGTCCATTTGCGTGGAGAAAAAAACAGCAATCTCATGTACTAGATTCAGTAAGTATGGTGGAAAAGGCACACCATCATGTTTTCTGTTTTATTTTTTGTTTTGTTTTGTATTTTGTGCAGGGTCTCACTACACAGCTCTAACTCATAGTGATCCTCTTGTTTTCAGCCTTCCTAGTGCTGGGGTTACAGGGCGTGCCACCATGCCCAAACTCCATGGAAGCTAAGCACCCAGGCAGGGCAGGCACACCATCAAGTTTTTGTGAGCCTGCCTTTTCATTAGGTAGTGCTTGGCAACAGCATTCACCACATTTTTTGTCCTATCTCATGAAGACCTTCAAAAAAGAGTTACATCCAAAACTGATTCAGAAAGTGACAAGAACAGTTGATATGTTCAAAGCAAGAGGCAGTATTTGGGGGCAGTAATAACACTGTGTCTTTTACTATAATAAATTGTTATTTAAGCACAGACCATATTTTTTGATCAGCCCTTATATTTCAAAAATCTAAAAAAGATTTTGGAAATTTTCTCCCTAAATACACGTTTAAGGAGGTAGATGTGATTTACTTAGGTTAAGCATTGCAAGTAAACAAGTATCAAAATATTATATATAAATTGTAAAAATGGTGTTTTGGCACTTTATATATCAACTAAAATATTTAAAATTTTAAATCATTGCTATATAGTTAAAACTCTTCAAAATGTGAATTTCTATACTGAACAAAAACATTCTTTCACATGGTTTAATTCTAAACCATTTTCAATACTATATGGCAAAGTTGTATGTGAACTTTGACCTGGAAACACCTCTGAGGTGTGTAAGAAGAGATACACAGACAGGATATTCATTGTAGTACTGTTAATAATTATGAAAATTTAGCCAACAACCAAACAGGAGAATGGCTCTTTATATGATGCAGAGGCAGGAAGTTGGTTACTGCCTGTGGGTGTTTTGGTTGTAACAATCCTACCCATAGACATTGGTCAGATTAGGACCAGAAAAGCCAGCCTCCTGATCACCATCCTTTATCCTTGCCAACATGCTAACAGTGCCTCCATTGAAAGGTCCTGGCTCAAGCCATATGATCCAATAATAGTCATTGAAAAGGTGTGCATTATTGTCATAGAAGCTGTCTAGGCCTACTCTTGGGGAGAATGTTACAAACTATTTAAATGTCAGATTCTATTAAGATTTCAAAAATCAGTATAATTTTCCTATTTAAATTTTAAAAATAAACATTTAAAGTTAACTCAAATTTTTTTTGTAGTATTACTTAATATGTCGGCACTTACTTTTGAAAATTAAACTGAAGCTCTGCTTTCTTCAGGACCCACATGTTGAGTGTTACACAATATCATCTATCAAGAGTAAACTAGGCTTGGACAGAGATACGCTGGTTGGACTAGCCATACTTCTTGGATGTGATTACCTTCCAAAGGCAAGCTGAACTCATACTTACTATTCAGAGTGCGTCTCTCTTTGGTACCTTGTATCCTGTATAAATGAGTATGATATGATTCATGATCTAATTTAAAATATAAATTGCATACTAAACCATTCTGGAACTAAAATAACTCAGGAGTTTAAAAGCTGACTTGTGACACTGAATGTAAATGCGACTAGCATAGTAAGTAGTTCCAGAGCCTGAACCTCAGGTAGGTCATTAACGCATATGAAGAGATTCACATTCAAATTAGTCTACATATTTAAAGGAATGTAAGCAGACATTGTGGTGCATGCCTATACTCCCAGCACTCCTAAAGCTGAGGCAAGAGGATCACAGCCAGTTCAGAGCCAGTCTGTGCTACATAGGTCAAGGTCAGCCTGAGCTACATAGACTATCTTAAAAAGAAAAAAAATAATAATTTTTAAAAATGAGAGAGTATAGGAATAGATCATTTCTTGTATAATGCCATTTGCTATCGTTGTTTTATCTGGTTTTAGTTTTCAGTATCATTGTGTTTTACTAGTTGTACACATGTTCAGTGTCATTACCGTTGCTCAGCAATGTGATTGTGGAAATAAGCCATTCATACTTTCTTGCCTCTTAGCATTGCACAGGGCTTTTGTTATGAAGACATGTTAGAGCACACAATATAGTACTTTAATAAACAATGTTAATAGAAAATATGATAAGGCGGTGTGAGGATAAGCCCATTTTCTTAAATGCTATATTTAAAAATAAATATAACTGGAATTATGTCTTACAGTCCCTTCATTGTATCCCTATCAATCATCTGTGTCTGTCCAAATCTCTCATTTTACCTTTGTTCCCAGGAGAAATACAAAAAAGTGCAGTGTAATTTTTTTTTTTTTTTTTTTTGCTTCAATGTTGTGACTTGTTTCTGGCTGTCCTCCAAGGCTCGTGCAGTCATAGGTGCAGCTTCTCAGAGGTGGCTGAGTGTGCTGAGCTCAGTCAATAAGTAGGCTTATAACCTGGTAGAATACAGAAGGACAGGAAAAAAGTGCTTATCACGCATGGTGGTGCAGCCCTGTAACCCTAGCACTTGGGAGACTGAGGCAGGAGGATTATTCAGAGTTGGAGACCAGCCTGGGCTACAAAGTGAGCTCAAGGCCAGCCTGAACTGCATAGCAAGACCCTGTCTCAAAAAGACAGACAGACAGACAGCAGGCGATCTCCTGCCCCTGGCTGCTGTTCACTGCTTGCTGCTTTGCTCTCTTCTGCCTTCCGTGAACTGCTTCCCCTTTGATGCTCTCTGCCATGGACCCTGCCTTGGAGCCAGCTGACTATGAACTAAAATCTCTACAAACTGTGCACCTTTCTTCTTTTAACTTTGGTATTGGGCATTTTGTCTCAGCAATAAGAAAAGTAACCAAGATACTTAAGCCTAGGAGAAAGGAGCAAAATAGCAGGGAGTAAAATCAGTAGCCCTGTTTTCTAATATATGTCTAGTGGCCAAATAAAGAAATCAAGAGTTATTTTTTGACTGTTAAGGAAAAAAAGTGGGAGGAAAGAAAACGTAACAGTAAAACCATTATTGTAATTCTCTTTGTGAAATAAAAGACCCTTATTTCTCATGTGTAGTCACATTTCAAATCTAGAAACAACCCAGTGGTAAATCTTTCTGCTAACTTGAACTCACAGAAACCAACTTTAGATGCAGTGATATTTATATTGTGCATTAAGCCTTAGCTATTTTGACATTTTGTATTCTTGGTACCAGGTTTAGTCAGTCCTTATGTTTTGAAAGATTTTTAAGACTGAATAGTACCATAATTTGCCCTTAGAATATTTGAGATGTAGCTAAAAGTTAATACAAGGGGGCTGGTGAGATGGCTCAGTGGTCTAAAGCACCTACTTGAAACAAGCTTGGCAAAGCACAGGGACCGTGGTTCAATCCCCCAGCACCACATGCCAGCCAGCCCCGCCCCCTGGTGGGCTGAGCTGGCCACACACACACAAATAAATAAATAAAAAATTGAAAATAAATAAATAAAAATAAAAATAAAAGTTAATATAAGATGGATGATATTTAACATCTGAGAGTAATGGTGCTTTCCTGTAATCCCAGCATTCTGGGAGGCTAAGGCAGGAGGGTCATAAATTAAACCCAGCCTGAGCAACTTATGGATACCTTATCTCAAAAAACAGAAGGGGCTGAGGGTGTAACTCACTGCTAAGAGCTTAGATTCAAAAAATTTATAAAATTTTGCATATATATTTATATTATCTATAACATACATTATTTTATGTATATATATATATATATATAAATTTTATATGCAGTATATATAGAACTAGTGTATGAAGGGTACAGGCTGTAGGATATAGAGATGGAACAGACTGCCATGCCATGGAACAGCTTTTTAGTAGTTGGAGTCTGGGTATGTATGATTGGAGGCATGCAGAGTACTGCTCACTGGCCAGCCTCGAAGTATTTTATCACTGATATATCTAACACTGATACAGGAGCTAAACAGCAACCTTATTAAAAGGATCTAATCATAAACCAGTATAAGCCAGGAGCCTCAGGCAGGAAACTTTGTTGTGAATATGTGCTATGTATGTAATTTTCATGTATAAATTTTATTGTTTGGAATTTACATTTTAATGTTTTTAATATGAAGAGTTGGAACTCTTTCCTTGTTTTTTTTTTTTGATGTCTTGATCTTTAAACATTAAATGTTCATATAATTAAATGCACTTGACTTTATTAATTATAGATATAACAAAGTTCAGACAAATTAAAATATTGTCAAAATAGCATAGTAAGTGAAAGCCATCTAAAATTATGTCCCTTTTCCCCTAAAACAAACAGTATCAGTGGTTTAGGATATAATTCTCTGAATTTTTTTATTTATATGAACTAATCTACATCCAACTGTTATAGGCGGCTAAGTTAGGTAAAAATCTTACAGGAAGTCAGAAATGGGCCTTTGAAGGACCCACTGTGGAAGACCAGGTCCCTTGCAAGTGTGGGAAAGACAAGTGCTCCTGCTGTGGGTCTGACCTTGAGAGAAAAGATCAAATAAATGCACCCACAAGCCTTCCTAGGGCTGGTCAGCAGGGACTGATAATCTAAGTAGGTATCAGTCACCTTGAAAAAGCCAGAGTCACTAACCCAGTCCCCTACTAGAAAAGCACACTTTGTATTCAAGCTCAGATTGTTGTGTGACTCACTTCCCCATTTGATCCCTATTTAATCAATTTGACCCGAACAGTTATACTTGTAATCTTATTGGCTGGCCATAGTTTTGTCCCACTCCATGCCCACCTTTCAAATTCCCATGTTTCCCACTTTCAACCTGCCTCACGTTGCGGGGTTTTGCTCTCTAGAATCCCTAGAAAAGACAGGGTCCTTGGCAACTCACTGGGGTCTCCTTCTGTCCCTCCTTCGAACAGAAAGTATTTACTTCAATAAACATGCTGCAAACCTCCATTGTTCCTAAAATTCATTCTTTGGTTTTAGAGCACATGAACTTTTCCCACATTTCTCTCAGTTTAGGAGTCTCCCCTATATCAAAACCATACATGATAATTTCATTTTATACATTGACATATATCCTCCATGGTGTTTCCTACCACTGTGCACTATTATGGCTGGTGTCATATAGGACCATAAGTGGGGCTTTTTTTTTTTCCTGGTACCAGGATTGAACTTAGGACCTTGAGTTTGCTAAACAGGCACTTATGCCTATGCCTATGGAACTATCTCCCCAGCCCTTGGTGGGTCTAGAGTGTGTGATGCTGGGATCCAGGGTGTGTGATTACTAACCCAGTCCACTGATTGGTTGGCGCAATTCTGGGTGTGAATCATGGAGAGACCCTGCTGGTGTGGGTGTGAACACTGCCTGCCTGAAGGGTGTGTAGCCAGATATGATACAAGGCACAGAAAGAGGGCTGCTGCCATTGCTTGCTCTTGCTGCTTTTACTGCCTCCTGCTTCTTGTCTTCCAGACTGTGCACTGTTTTTCTTCTCTGTGATGCCCTCGGCCTCACCACCCTGTCTTGGAGCCAGCCAGATATCAACTGAGACCACTACGTACTGAACCAAATAAACCTCTCCTCCTTTATAACTTTTGAGTGTCAGGTAGTTTGTCTCAGCATTAGGAAAAGCAGTTAAGACACACACGGTTACATATTCTTCAATTTTTTTTGTTGTTTTGTTTTTTTTCTTTCTTTTTGTCTTTTTGAGATGAGAGTCTCCTTATGCAATGCAGGCTGGCCTTGAATTCACTTTGTGTCCTAGGCTGGCCTGGACTCACAGCAGTCCTCCAGCCTCTGCCTCCCTAGGGTTGGGATGACAGGTGTGTACTACCACACCCAGCTCAGATTCTTTGTTTCAGCTGTAGGATCTTGAGCTGAGTTGATGTGCTACACTTTATTTAGCCACTCCCTAGTGATTAACCTTTGCATTTTTTCCCATTTTCTGAAAGGGAGTTCCTGGAATTGGAAAAGAACAAGCATTAAAACTCATACAGATTTTGAAAGGGGAAAGTTTGCTTCAGAGGTAACTACCAATTGCTTTTTCTTCAACATTGGACTTTCCTTCTTCTTGAAGTTGATAATGAATATTTTAAAAAAAATTATTCTTTTAGGTCTGGGGAGATAACTCTGTGGTCTAAGTGCCTGCCTGGCAAGCTGAAGGACCTAGGTTCGATCCTCGGTACTCTATGCCAGGCCAGCCACCAAAACCAGACATGGTGGTACACGCTTGTAATCCCATGGGGAGGCTGAGACAGGAGGATCTCTACAAGTCTGAGTTGGTAGGGTGTAGGAGACCCTGTACCAAATAAATAACTTTCTTTAAAAATTATGCTTTCGAAAAGATTTTTCATATCTTTTAACTGATGTAAGTTTTCATTTAAAATATTTTTTCTCAAGTTTTCCTTTGTTATTGGTGGTGGTTTGGTGGTTGGTTGGTTGGTTGGTTGGTTGGTTGGTTGGTTGGTTGGTTTTGAAGCAGGGCCTCACTACATAGCCCAGGCTGGCCTCCACCTTGCAGGCGATCCTCCTGCTTCAGCCTCCTGAGTGCTGGCATAACAGACTCGTGCCAACACACTGCAAAATACACTATTAACTCATTGAGCACAAACACACAGTGGCCAATGCATTTATTAATCTCCATGTGTCTTGCCGCAGCAGGCTTCTTTGTCTTGTAGCTGTTCCCATTGTGTTGCCCAGGCTGAACTCAGCTTCACCATGGCCCCCTTCACCTCCTGAGAGTAGGGAGGACAGCAGGATGTACCACCTCACCTGGTGACATAGGCAGGCATTACAGGCCATTTAAGTCATTTTAGACGTATTTAATGCTTTTCTTTTTTTTTGGTTCTCTGAGAAGGCATCTGGCTATGTAGTAGAGGCTGGCCTTGAACTCACTGTGTATCCCTTACTGGCCTCAAACTCAGCAATCCCCCTGCCTCAGCCTCCTGAGTGCTGGGGTTATAGGTGAATACCACCACACCCAGTGATATTTCCAGCTTTGGTAGTGTGTTTACTTTGTATGAATAAAGTGTCTATTGTGTGTTCCATATGAGAAACCTTGATTGAGATTCCTTAACTTGGCTGCGCATTGTTAGGCAGCTGTAAATTTACTCCAGCTTCTGCAGCATGAGGGTGCAAGACAGTGAGTGTGCAGTAGGTCCCCAACTCCCTTTGGAGAGCGTTTGTACCTCGGATGTGTTCTCAGCTCCAACCAAATGAGTCTTCAACACACCTTTCACACAAATGTACAGTACAAAACAAGCCAAACACAAAAGTGCAGTAAGTCCCTGACTGTATACACACTATCACACTGCCCTAAGCACACAGCAGCATGACTGTGACAGTGTTCAGCGGGCAGTGAGCTATTCTGCAATTTGTTCACATGTAGAAATGTTTGTAATGTGAGCTCCATGCTTGTCTGTGGAAGATACAATTTGAATGTTAGTTAGGCGGGATCTTACTGTACAGATTATGGTGAAGTTTTAAGCTGTCCTGTTTACTCTTTTAAAGGCATGTGAATTATATTTATTTGATGAAAGTGGTATATAAAAATAATAATAGAATATAGAATAAATAAACAAGACAGGAACCAGGACACCAGGAGACTAACACAGTCGTAGCCTGCAATAGCTCTGAGATGCTGAGGACCTGAAAAGAGACCCCATGATAGAAAAGAAGGCCTAATAGCCGGGACAGGGCTTTCAAATCACTGCGGCCTCCCATGACGGCTTTTCCTCCAACTGTAAAGCTTTCAGGAGCTGTAAGACAGCAGTAGATATGGTGTGGGCATCAATGATAGGAAGGAAGAGATGTCCTTCAACATTGGTGTGAGTGAAAACAATCACTGGGAAGTAAGAAAGGAAAAGTAAGCAAATATGGCAGTTGGATAGCTTCAAGCCATTGACACAGGACAGTGTCAGAGAAATGCACTTTGGGCAACATGTAAGCAGTTTGTCTTTTTTGAGACAGGGTCTCACTCTGCAGTTCAGTCTGTCGTTGAACTCACATGTCCCAGGCTGGCCTCAAACTCGCTGCAATCAGTCCTCCTGCCTCAGCCTCCCAGGTGCTCACATTGCGGGCATGCACTACCGCACCTGACAAGTACTTTTTAACAGTGATAAAATTGCGTTTCTTTTTCTAATTATCCAATATTCTTGTTCGTTTGGTACCAGGAATCCAACTCAGGACCTTATACTTGTCAGGCAGGCACTGTACCACTGAGCTATATCCTGGCCCTAACTTTATTTATTTATTTATTTATTTAATTTATATAGGGTCTCGCTACACATTTTGGTCTCATAGGGCATAGTGATTATCCTATCTCAGCTTCCCTACTGCTGGGATTATAGGCATGTGCCACCACGCCTGATCCCCCACTCCTACCCTAATTATCTATTTCTAATTCTACAACGGACTGATTTTTCCATATTTTTAATTATTTAATTTAATTAATTTATTTATTTATTGGCTCACTCAGACTGCATTGAGGGCAGGTCTGGTGTGACTTGTGGAGCTGGGGATTGAGCCATAGTCTCCTGTGCCTGACTGAGTTTGCCCAAGCAGGCACTTTAAACAACTGAGCTAACCGGAAGCCCCATAATTATTTTTAATATTTGAAGCTTTATTAAAATTAGTGCAAAATTTTAGCAAGATCTTGCTCTTTCTAGCCGGGGAGATGGCTCAGTGGAAGATCTTGCTCTTTCTAGTAAACAAGACAAAGTCCAACAGCTGAATATAACTCTTAAGTACCAGACATAACCCAAGGAATTAAAGATACTATTTAGCTTTTAATTATATCTTTAATTTCTATAAGGAGCAAAATTCATAATTCTCCATGTTTTATGATTATACATAATTGCTCTTGGAGGTTTTAAGTTAACCTGAAACTTTAGCCAGAAATCAAATTAACTTTTATTAGAATCTTAGTAATGTATGCATTTCCTAAAATCTTTCATTAAACAAGTAATGTTTTATTGTTTGTATAAGAAATTAAGTGATCCAGACTTTTGAAACGGGTTTAACCCAAAAGCTTAATGTTGTGTTTGGGTTTGTCATTATCTTTTTTCTTTCTTTTTTTTTAGGTATGGTTGGTTATTTATTTATTTATTTGGTACAGGGTCTCGGTACATTTCAGACTCATAGTGGTTCTCCTATCTCAGCCTCTCCAGTGCTGGGTTTATGTGTGTGTATACCACCATGCCAGGTTTTGGTGGCCAGCTTGGCACAGGCACAGCATGTGATACCAGGCATTGAACCTGAATCCTTAGGCTTGCCAGGCAGGCGCTGAGACTGTTGAGCTTATCTCCCCAGCTCCTGGTTTGCAGTTTTATTTGTTGTGGGATTTTTTTGGATTTTTGGTTTTTTTACACAAGGTCTCCTTATGAAGTTAGACTGGCCTTGAACTCCCAGGGGATCTTCCTACCTCAGACTCCCAAGTACTGGGACTACAGGTGTGCACCACCGCACCCACTGCATTATCTTTTAATATAGAATAGTCATGTACAGAATTCTGTTTTATGCCTTGATACACAGAGAAGAGAAAGAAAGACATACAAAACATTCTCCCTTCGTGTTGCTGCCTTGCAAGCTTCTAAGGAAATGCTGAGTGCATAGATGACGAGGTGGACACGTACAGTGTGTAGACACGTAGATACACACTTAAATACCCCCTCGCTGCTGTCACAACTTTGCTGTCCCAGAGGCCATACTTGAAGGCATTAAGTTTATCAAGACAAAATGATGGGCAAGTGAAAGGAGATCAGTTAGACTGACATTTAAGAACATGGCATTTTTGTGACCTTATTTTTTTTCTCTTTTCATTACCATTTTCTATTAAAGGTTTAATCAGTGGAATGAAACATCATGTCACTCCATTCCACAGCCACAAGTAGCTAAAAAATTGGCCCATTGCTCTGTGTGTTCCCATCCAGGTAAGCAGACACAGACCGTTTCCACATTTGCATTCCTGTGCTAATACTGTCTCATAAGTTTATTAATAGCATGTTGAAGGTTTTTAAATTGCCTTTCCCGCTAAATAGGTGAACATCTTGAAGTCAGAAGTTATGTTATATAAATAATCAATAAATATTGAGTAAAATAATATAAATGATAAACATAAGTGCAGTTTCAAACTAATACCAAATTACTCAGATTTTTAAATTATATTTTCAATAATAAATCCATTTTAAGAGCAAATGTCAGTCCTAAGGAGGGAAAAAACTGAAACCATTTGTTTTTGTATTAGTGATTTATTTTTATATACTAACATGAGTCTTCATTGTCTTCTAATATGTCTTTATTTTGTATAAAGGTAGTGACTTAAAGGAATTTCTATTTTATATTCCCTCTTAGTGAAAATAGCTTGGATAGTCCTTAGTTTGGGTTTCAAAAAAGAGAAACCACTGAACATGCACTGGGTCACCAAGATCTTTCACTCCCAGAGCAGTGAAGAAATCATGTTAGCTTATTCCTTAAAAGAAATTGAACTTTTTTGTGTGTCTTAAGTGCTTTGCATTAACATTATTAAATTATAAGTGAAGTCAGGTAAGAAAATGAATGCTTTTATAAGGAAGATACCATTCCATAATGTTTTGATAACTGAGAAGTGACAGTTTTAGGTTTATATTCTTCACATTTTAAAAGCAATGATGAAAGTAATCACACTTAGAATGTGTAGAGAAAACTAGAGCTCCACACGGGTGCTGTCATCATAATCAGTTTATGTTCCCAAGCATAGTTTTAAGACAACTGTACCTGTAACTGGGGGCTAGACATTGGTAAAGGTACTTAGCCAACATGTTCTTTTAATGTGCTTATTGAAGCAGTTCATGGACTACTCAAGTCATCTTTTTTGCTAATAATTATATTTTGCTTTTGTAGCATGTAGCCACCAAATAAACCAAAACATTTTCTTTATGATAAATGTGTGATTTCCATTCAAAAATTAACAATTTCAAGTGACTAGTATTTTTTAATGTCCTGTGATACTAATAGCTCAAAGTCTATATTTTGTCCTAAGAATTACTGTGGTATTTGTTATGTGTGCAACCTAAATGTATTGAAACCTTTATAATATGCACTGTATTAACTTTTGAAAATTTAGACAATAGCAAACAAGTGTATGCAAAAGAAGTATTGAAAAGGGAGTGAAAATTATATTTCTTTATGTCTACATGAAGGTTCACTAAAAGATCATGAACGTAATGGATGCCATTTGTGCAAAAGTGATAGGTACTGTGAACCACATGATTATGATTACTGCTGTCCCTGTGAATGGCATCAGACAGAACGTGACAGGCAACTAAGTGGTGTAGAGAACAATATTAAGAAGTAAGTTCTTTTTAGAAAAATTATTTTTTTGGCATGACCTTTGTACATATCTCTGATTAAATTATTTCCACATGATCTTCACTGACCTGTGATATGTCTAGATCAGTCATCTTTCATATATCCCTTTGATTGTATTAGACCCAGTATTAGAGATTGAATCCAGGACCTTCTCATTGAACTACATCTCCAGCCCTTTAATTTTTGAGACAGGGTTTTGCTAAGTTCCCCAGATGGAATTCACACTTGAAATCCTCCTGCTTTACCTTCCCAAAGTATTCATATATTCTTTTTTTTTTTTTTTGCAGAACCAGGGATTGAACTCAGGCCCTCGTGTTTGCCAGACAAGCACTTATTATAGTGAGCTATCTCCCCGGCCCGAGATATTCTTTTTTCTTGATTTTGTTAAAAAAAATTCACCTATCTCAAAGGACAATAATTTAATAGTATCTGAAGAGATGCTTAATGACTGTTTAGTATACAGTATATGATGCTTTTTTATAAATGAGAGATTGGATGGGATTATTTCAGTCTGTCTTAACATTGCTTGATTGTAGTAATAACATGTATTAAATTATTTTCAGAAAGGCTTGCAGCTGTGAAGGATTCCCATTCCATGAGGTAATGAACACTAAATCAGTTGTGTGTATATTTCATAAAAGTTTAAAGTCTCAATTCATATTGTATTTTCTCTCTCTGCTAGGTTATTCAAGAATTCCTTCTGAACAAGGATAAGTTGGTGGGAGTAATCAAGTACCAAAGACCTGATTTATTATTGTTTCAGGTATTTGAAAATAAATTCTTCCTGTTTAATATAAAGGTGGATACTAGAACAATAGGGTAAAATGTTCACTTTGCTTGCTATGTTAGATTTAAAAATTAAGACAGTTATTGATTGTCCATATAGTTTTTAGCTTTTTTTTTTTTTTCCTCCCAGTCCTAGGGATTGAACTCAGGGCCTTGTGCATGCTAGACAAGTGCTGCTCTACCACTGAACTACATTATCCCACAGCTTTTTTTATTTGAGATCTTTGCTAAATTGTCCAGGCTGGCCTTGAACTTATCACTCTCCCTTAGCTGCGTAAGTAGCTAGAATTACAAGTGTAAGCCAGCAGACATGGCTAACAGTACTTTTTTTTAACTTTTACTCCATTATATGATGGCCAGACATCATAGATCTTATACCTCATTTACATTCACTCTATTTTTAGGAGAGATCTTAGTTTCCATATGAGAACATACTGTATCCATCCATATGTTTGGGAAAGAGAGGTTCATGACTAGAAATGTCAGGATCAGCTATATTCCCTTGAAACACTATTTCAGAATCATTGAAATTTAAAATCAGTGGGGCCGGGGAAATGACTCAGTGGAATAATTGCTTACCTGGCAATCACAGGGGCCTGAGTTCAATCCCCGGTGGGTTCTGCAAAAAAAAAAAAAGAAAAAAAGAAAGAAATTTAAAATCAGTGACACAAAAGTACATTTGGACAGTCACAGTGTGACCCTGGATATGTTACCTCAAAAAAAAAATGTTATTTATCTCATGAAGTCACTGTAAGAATAGTAATGGTTGTCTCCATTTCAAAAAACAAGTATTTTATTTTTGTCTTTACAGAGATTTACTCTTGAAAAACTGGAGTGGCCCAATCACTATGCATGTGAGAAGTTGTTGGTGCTTTTGACCCACTATGACATGACAGAAAGAAAATTTGGTAGAAGGAATTCTAATCAGCTACAGCCAATTCGGTAATATAAATTCACCATATGACTCATATGATGAAAACTTTGTATTTCTATTTGAATATTTCTTAGTACCTCTAGTAGTGGGATACCTGTCTCTTGGTGTTGTGAAGAAAGGTCTTCTAGAATATTAAAAGTATATCCAGGGTTTACATCTAACACAACATGATAAGTTCATCATCCTTTGAAATGCTTTCCTACTTTAATCACATAGTAATAATACATTACAAAAGGCAAAAAATGTCAAGAGAGATAGCCAGACTTAACAAGTTAACCATTTCAGTGGATTGGAAAAGGAATAGAAGTGTAAGGTGAATAAGGAGCTGAAATTGGGAATTCCATAGATGAGCAGCAAACGTAATGCCTCATGTGGGGGGTGAGTTCTTAAGAAGCAAAGAAAAAAGGGGGGTGCCGAAAGTGTAAGCTATTGGTGGAGTCAGACTTGCTTATTAAAGCTAGCGGCCAGGCTAGAGTTCCTCTGTTCCTGTCATGTTAGAGACTAGAGTAAGTGATAACACAACACCAACTGGAAAATACTCAACAAGAACTGGAGAAGTAGATGTGAGACAGAGATAAAACATAAGAGTGAGAAGAAAAAAGTATGGTATATGAAGAAATATAATAGTTTGAAAAAACTTAACAGTTACATCATGAATTCCCCCATATTAAACTAGTTTATAAAATACTCAGTAGTTAGAAACTCAATTGTTTTTCTTGTTACTGTTGAAGTTTTGTTTTTGGTTTTTTTGTTTTGTTTTTTTTTTTGGCTTTTTAGAATACCAGAAAACTCAGTAAAATGAAGATATATCTGTAGGAAGGGAAATTATAAAACTAAAACGGATAGAAACTTTTAAATGAATATAAAAATGAACTATTATATATCTTAGAAAATATTTAAATAAAAATACTAGGATTTCAGGCTGAATTAGTTCAAAAAGAATTAGGGAATTGGAAGACAGTACTAATCACAGACCATATAGAAAGCAACTTGAAGACTCTCAGATAAAAATTACTTCAAAGTAGTTTTAACTTAAAGGATGATATGAATATTTCCAATATATTTCTAGGTGCTAATGGAAAGAAATGTGGAAAAGCAATTTTTGAATTGATGACATTTGAGAGTTTTCTAAAATGTTAGGCAAACAGCAGTTTTCAAATCAAATTACACTCCCAAGTGTAAGCATGATAAAATCCACCGCATTGTAGAAATTAAATATAAAAGGAAAGTTCCAAGAAGTACCAAGCCACTTAGGTAAAAATCTTTGATGAATGTTAAAGCCATGAAAGTAACATTGCTAGAGAAAAAGAATGGACACAGTCTCAAGTGTCACACCATAGATTAATGTATAAAGTAGACATCCGCTTGCTTAAGTATGTGATGACCAACAGCAAGCCAGAAGACTGGCACCATGTCCCTCCTACTTCAGAAAACTAAAGAAAGGCACCATATCGTCTCAGTATTTTTGTAAAAACTGTTTAATTTGAGTCATCGAGAGAAAATACTCTTTTTTTTTTTTTTAAATGTATTTAGTACAGAATCTACAAAGTCTCACTACGCAGATCAGACTCGTAGTTATCCTCCTGTTTGCAGCCTCCCAAGCACTGGGATTACAGGCACACACCAGCAAGCCCAGTCTCAGTCGCATCTCAGCATGCCCTGGGGTCAGGCCAGCCAGCACAGCATGCCAGAGATCAAACCCTGATCCCTGCATCTGAAAATATTCTAATAGATCCAAACTGAAGAACATTTTTCAGATCTGCCATTCTGAACTCCTTAGAAATACAAATTTTATCAAACAAAAAGCTGGAAGCCTTTTTTGGATTAATAGAGCCCAAGGAGACACAAAAAGTTAAGCAGAATATGATCCTGATTAGATTTTCAGTTTACTTAAGCCATAAAGGAAGTTTTTAAGTATAACTGTGGACTTCTTAACACTCATTATATTTTAGATAATATAATATTGATGTGAATTTCCTGAGTGTGAAGGTTGAATTGTTGCTATGGAGGAGAGTGCTGTACCTAGATAAGCTGCAGCATTTGGGAACATGTCACAAGGCGCGTTTGCAACTGACTTAAATGGAGAAGCAGATATGGCAAAATGTTAACCACTGGGAAGTCTCCATTAAGATGTATTAATATTGAATATTCTTATACTTCTCTAAGGGTGTAAAATTTTTCAAACTAAAAAATTTGGAGGGCAGGGGGCCGGGAAGATGGCTCAGTAGAATAAGCGCTTGCCTGGCAAGTGCAAAGGCCTGAGTTCAATCCCCAGTACCACCAATAAATAAATAAATAAATATAAAAAATTTGGAGGGTAATTATCAAAGAAAAAAGATAAAATACAAAGGATGGACAATCTGATCAGACACATCTTTCATAACAGTAATACATTCCAGAAAATGATGGAGTAATGTTTCAAAGTATAGAGTGGAAGTAATTAGCAACCTAGATGCCATAAAAATGTTTTTCACAGAAAAGGCATTTTTCTTTTTTTTTTTTTTAAAACATGCTTTTTATATTTTTATATTTATTTATTTTTTTATTTATTACATTTATTTATTGTGTGTGTGTGTGGCCAGCTCAGCCCACCAGGGGGCGGGTCTGGCTGGCATGTGGTGCTGGGGATCGAACCGCGGTCCCTGTGCTTTGCCAAGCTTGTTTCAAGTAGGTGCTTTAGACCACTGAGCCATCTCTCCAGCCCCAAGAAATGGGAAGAATTTTTTTTTCTTTCCGGAACCAAGGATTGAACTCAGGCCCTTGCGCTTGCCAGGGAAGCGCTTATTCCACTGAGCCATCTCCCTGGCCCTTCAGAAAAGGCATTTTTCAAACTAAGAAAATTTACCCTCCTCTCCCCCCACCCCATAGGCCTTCTTTAGAAGCATTTTTAAGCTGGGGATGGTAACACAGACCTATAATCCCAACACTTTGGGAAACTGAGTTGGGAGGATGACAAATTCAAGTACTGCCTGGGCAGCTTAGCAACACTGTCTCACAATAAAAAAAGATGTAACTCAGGGCAAAGACTCAGGGTTCAAAGCCCATAAAACAAATGCACACACACACACACACACACACACACACACAAAACCATGCTATTAAAGGATACACTTGAAGGGAAAGAAAGGGGAGACCATCAGAAGATGCAATAGTCACTATGTGTTATTAGTCACAGTTCTATCACAAGGAAAAAGTACAACTTAAAGGAAGCGAGCTCTACTTTGGCTCATGGTTTCCAAGTGTTTAGTCCATGGTTAAGTCCAAGACCAACTGCATGGTGGAGGAGACTTGTTCAACCCATGGCTCTAGGAATCAGAGAAAAGATTAGAGCTAGGGAGAGATACCCTCCAATGATATGCCCCCAGGAAGTACCTCCTCCAGGTTAGTCCCACTGCCTTACAGCGCATTTAGCTATGAACTTACCAATAGATTAACCCACTGATGAGTACAGAGTTCCCTGATCCAGTCTCCTTCCAGAACCCTCACCTCCGAATATATGAGTCTAGGGGGATGTTCTAGACATGACACAAATTGATAAAACATATTTGGCTAACTTAATAGAGAAATTTATACAAGTATTTAATAATTAATAGGTGATGATATCAGCTAAAGCTCTTAGTATGCATTTAGAGATTGTATTCCAAGTATATTTAAACTAATTATGTTTAAATGTATGATTTGAGAGTTTTAGCGTACTGTCACATTTATTAGTACATTTTAGAGAACTACTAGAAATATAATCTATTATCCAGACTAGCACATTTAATATGGTTGAACGATCAGAGAATCTAGACAGGAAGAAGGGAGCAGCAGAAAAAGCTGGTAACCAGAAAGAAACAAAGTAAAATGTGTATCAGTGAATCTAATAAATATAGGTGGACTAAGGATCATCTGTTAACAGGTTACACTGCATAAGTAAGCAAAGCCTAGCAGTACTCTGTTTGCAGGGAACATGTAGAATAATATGTAAAGCTTGGAAACTGATAATATTTACTAGGCAAGGGCCAGGGATAAAGTGCAGCGGCACAGCACCTACCTGGGAAGCAGAAGGTCCTGGGTTCAATTTCTGGTACCAAAAAACAAACTAGATGAATATTTGCCAAAAATTTGTAGCAAAGTGAACTTTAAAAACCATGAAGGAAAAAAAAAATGAAAAAGAACATTGCATAATAAAATGATTTATTGAGAAAAATCTTAAGGTCAGCATGTACCAATAAAATTATTCTTTTTAAGTAGTCAAAGGGGGCCGGGGAGATGGCTCAGTAGAATAAGCGCTTCCCTGGCAAGTGCAAGGGCATGAGTTCAATCCCCGGTTCCACCAAAAATAAATAAGTAGTCAAAGGAATAATGAGGCATTAAAATTCTTACACTTTTACTTAGAATAAAGATTAGGGGAAATGAATTAAACTGAAAATTTCCAAATAATTAATGCAACAGGCTTAATTACGTGAATTTGTTTTGCAGAATTGTTAAGCCCCGAATCAGAAATGGAGTTCATTGCTTTGAAATAGAATGGGAAATGCCTGGTATGTAATTAAAATGTTAAATTTACATTTGAATTTATATGCCCATGCACACACACACA